TGAGCCAGCTTGGGGAACCATGGGCCTTTTATGACTTGAGGACTTCAACTCCCAGAATTCCTGAGCCAGCATGGGGGAACTATGGCCCCTTCATGACTGGTGGACTTCAACTCCCAGAATTCCTGAGCCAGCATGGCTCAGCTTGGAAACTTCTCCCTTTCCCCTCAGCATGGCTGGCTCAGGAATTCTGGGAGTTGAAGTCCACCAGTCATAAAAGAGCCAAGGTTGCCTACCCCTGGTCAAAGAATACCTGTATATTCAGGTCTGAACAGTCCAGATAGAAAAAAAGGAAGACACTCTAGTCTACTCACTGTAGCCCATCAGCTCTCCCCCGGGGGCTTCTGCCACAATGAAGTACTCTGGCCAGTGAGCCAAGTACTGCAAGTAAAATGGAATTCCATACTATGAAGGGTTTTATGTTAAGGAAAGTTCATCTCGACCAATGGGGCATTCAAGAAGAAACTATGCATCACCAAAAAACAAAACATGAACAACCTGCCTGCAGAAGCCGTGACTGCTCCAACACTGGAAGGTTTTAAGAAGAGACTGGACAGCCATTTGTCTGAAATGGTGTAGGGTTCCCTGCCTGAGTAAGGGGTTGGACTAGATGACCTCCAAGGTCCCTTCCAACATTATTATTATTGAGGATCATCGCATAGTCAGCCAGATGTTCAGACTGGATTTGGCATTTTTGTCTACCTATCGAGTCCTTACCAAGGACCTGGGATAGGCAGATGTGGATGTTTGATGGTATTACAGATCTCGTCACAGGATGGAAGCGGTTCCTAGTAAGGCCGCCTTTTGCAATTGACAAATGGCGAATTTGTCAATGCTGATGATGGTGTTCAAGTGGTGCTCCAGTTATTTTGGGATTGCACCCAAGGCACCTATTACTATTGGTACTACCCTTGCTTGCCTTTGCCACAGTCTTTCTATTTCTATGTCTTTGTATTTTGTTATCGTCTCCAGTTCTTTCTCATCTATTCTGCTGTCTCCAGGCACTGCCACGTCCACTACCCAGACTTTTTTGTCTTTCTTATCGACAATTGTTAAGTCCGGGGTGTTATGTTGCAGGTGCTTGTCTGTTTGAATTCTGAAGTCCCAGAGCAGTTTAACTTTATCATTTTCTATGACTTTCTCTATTTTATGATCCCACTAGAGAAAGTCATAGAAAATGATAAAATTAAACTGCTCTGCGACTTCATAATTCAAATATNTGAGCCAGCTTGGGGAACCATGGGCCTTTTATGACTTGAGGACTTCAACTCCCAGAATTCCTGAGCCAGCATGGGGGAACTATGGCCCCTTCATGACTGGTGGACTTCAACTCCCAGAATTCCTGAGCCAGCATGGCTCAGCTTGGAAACTTCTCCCTTTCCCCTCAGCATGGCTGGCTCAGGAATTCTGGGAGTTGAAATCCACCAGTCATAAAAGAGCCAAGGTTGCCTACCCCTGGTCAAAGAATACCTGTATATTCAGGTCTGAACAGTCCAGATAGAAAAAAAGGAAGACACTCTAGTCTACTCACTGTAGCCCATCAGCTCTCCCCCGGGGGCTTCTGCCACAATGAAGTACTCTGGCCAGTGAGCCAAGTACTGCAAGTAAAATGGAATTCCATACTATGAAGGGTTTTATGTTAAGGAAAGTTCATCTCGACCAATGGGGCATTCAAGAAGAAACTATGCATCACCAAAAAACAAAACATGAACAACCTGCCTGCAGAAGCCGTGAATGCTCCAACACTGGAAGGTTTTAAGAAGAGACTGGACAGCCATTTGTCTGAAATGGTGTAGGGTTCCCTGCCTGAGTAAGGGGTTGGACTAGATGACCTCCAAGGTCCCTTCCAACATTATTATTATTGAGGATCATCGCATAGTCAGCCAGATGTTCAGACTGGATTTGGCATTTTTGTCTACCTATCGAGTCCTTACCAAGGACCTGGGATAGGCAGATGTGGATGTTTGATGGTATTACGGATCTCGTCACAGGATGGAAGCGGTTCCTAGTAAGGCCGCCTTTTGCAATTGACAAATGGCGAATTTGTCAATGCTGATGATGGTGTCCAAGTGGTGCTCCAGTTGTTTTGGGATTGCACCCAAGGCGCCTATTACTATTGGTACTACCCTTGCTTGCCTTTGCCACAGTCTTTCTATTTCTATTTGTAGGTCTTTGTATTTTGTTATATTCTCCAGTTCTTTCTCATCTATTCTGCTGTCTCCAGGCACTGCCACGTCCACTACCCAGACTTTTTTGTCTTTCTTATCGACAATTGTTAAGTCCGGGGTGTTATGTGGCAGGTGCTTGTCTGTTTGAATTCTGAAGTTCCAGAGCAGTTTAATTTTATCATTTTCTATGACTTTCTCTATTTTATGATCCCACTAGAGAAAGTCATAGAAAATGATAAAATTAAACTGCTCTGCGACTTCATAATTCAAATATTATTACTGATCATCGCACAGTCAGTCAGATGTTCAGACTGGATTTGGCATTTTGTCTACCTATCGAGTCCTTACCCAGGACCTGGGATAGGCAGATGTGGATGTTTGATGGTATTACAGATATCGTCGCAGGATGGAAGCAGTTCCTAGTAAGGCCACATTATTATTATTATTATTATTATTATTATTATTATTGTTGTTGTTGTTGTTGTTGTTGTTGTTGTTGTTGTTGTTATAGAATCACTCCACAACTCCACTAGTTTTGCTTCTTAGCAACACCCTCGTGATCAATCTATGAAAGAAGCCATCACATTCCAGAATGTTAAATATATTCTTCCGGGTAGGAAACTACAGACTAAGTTGCTGTTGTTCCCATAGTGGGTGGGCTTCTTCCATGATTTCTCTATTATCTTCCCACAATCAAAACCCACTTGCACGCTGTTGGGGAGTCACTGCAACTCCCAAGCAAGAACCTTCCAGGGGCGAACACATAATGTACGCAAAGATCCCAGCTAGGAACATTAATGTCTTCAACCCGAAGTTTTAAAAAGATACAGTCTCCGTCAGGGGATCCAAGTTGCTGTGGAAAACAAGAACAAAGATATAAATTAGAAGGACCAGGGGGAACACGATAGCAGCATTCCAGTATTTGAGGGGCTGCCCCAAAGAAGAGGAGGATCAACCTATTCTCCAAAGCGCCTGAGGGCAGGACAAGAAGCAACAGATGGAAACTGACCAAGGAGAGAAGCAACCTGGAACTAAGGAGAAACTTCCTGACAGTTAGAACAATTAACCAGCGGAACAACCTGCCTCCAGAAGCGGTGAATGCTCCAACACTGGAAGTTTTTAAGAAGAGACAGGACAGCCATTTGTCCGAAATGGTGTAGGGCAGTGATGGCGAACCTTTTAGAGACCGAGTGCCCAAACTGGAACCCCAAACCCACTTATTTATTGCCGGGTGCCAGGTGGGTGTGGCCCACTGGGTGGGCGTGGCTGTGGTGGTCATGGCAGACTGGGTGGGTGTGGCCAAGGTGGGCTTGGTCACCTCGATGTTGCTCATGGGGAGGGACGCCTGTGGGGGCCAGGCAGGGTTGGGGGAGATCCAGGGAGTCTCTGGTAGGTGGGGTGGTGGGTAGGAGGCTCGTCCTGCGAGGTGAGGCGAGGCAGGGTGGGGGTGCCATTATCTCAGGGCAAGGCAAGACAGGGGCCGGGGCAGCTGCTGCCTGACACCATCGGTCCCTGCACACAGAGGCCAGTGAGCGCATGGGGGCTGACAGTGTCCGTCAGCAGCCATAGCCTGCCGGTCCCTTGACCGTCGCACTCTGGGGCTCCGCAGCCCGCCACCAGCAATTCAGAGAAGTGCCCACAGAGAGGGCTCTGAGTGCCACCTCTGGCACGCGTGCCATAGGTTCGCCACCACTGGTGTAGGGTTTCCTGCCTGAGCAGGGGGTTGGACTAGATGACCTCCAAGGTCCCTTCTAACTTCTTTATTATTATTATGAAAACAAGGTAAGTCCAGTTCTCTCTTGAAAAAAGCGCTGGAATTGGGTATGTCTAGTTTAAGGAAGAGAAGGACGAGGGGAGACACGATAGCAGTGCTCCAATATCTAAGGGGCTGCCTCCAAAAAGAGGGAGTCAAGCTCTTCTCCAAAGCCCCTGAAGGCAGGACCCGAAGCAACGGGTGGAAACTAACCAAGGAGAGAAGCAATCTAGAACTAAGGAGAAACTTCCTGACAGTGAGAACAATTAACCAGTGGAACAACCTGCCTCCAGAAGCAGTGAATGCTCCAACACTGGAAGTTTTTAAGAAGAGACTGGACAGCCATTTGTCCGAAATAGTATATAGGGTTTCCTGCCTGAGCAGGGGGTTGGACTCAATGACCTCCAAGGTCCCTTCCAGCTCTATTCTGATCGATTGATTGAAATATTGAGAGAAGGACAAGGGCCATTAAAACTGAACATTTCTTAGCCCGGTTCTTCCAAGCCACAGAAAAATTCCCAGACTTTAACTGCCATTTTCGCCAACGTCACAGCGACGGAAAGCAAATTCCAGCCCGCCAGATTTGAGTGACAGAACACTTTAGCCCTTCTGAGCAGCAGGTTCACCAATTACGGGTAGCCCTCTACTTACGACAATTGACCTCAAAACTTCTGCTGCTAACATTATCAAAGAATAAGCTAATACAGTGATGGCAAACCATTTAGAGACCGAGTGCCCAAACTGCAACCCAGAACCCGCTTATGCATCGTCGGGTGCCGGGTGGGTGTGGCCCATTGGGTGGGTGTGGCCAATTGGGGTGGCTGTGGCCCATTGGGTGGACGTGGCTGCGGTGGTAACGGCAGACTGGGTGGGACTAAAAAGTTCAATCAATCAATTCCAACTTTGCAAGATCTTTTTTTTCTCCACAAGAAGTTGAAATTGACTGATTGATTGAACCTTTTTTTTTTTTTTTGCACATGGCAGCGGAAGCCTAAAGTGAAAAGGTTTTATAAAACCCAGCTGAAGGCCTGGGATTGGGGCGACGGCGCGTGTGCCCACAGAGAGGGCTTTGAGTGCCGCCTCTGGCACTGGTGCCATAGGTTCGCCACCACTGAGCTAATATGTCCTCTTTTTTACACACACACACACACACACGTCTGTGTCTGTCTGTCTATGTGTATATATATTCATTTAGTGACGTTCAAAGTTGAAACAGCACTGAAAAAAGGGACTTGGCCATTTTTCACAGTTACCATTTCTGCAGCATCCCCCTGATCATGGGACCAAAATTCAGATGCTTGGCTATTGGCTCACATGTATGACCACTGCTGTGTCCCACGGTCACGTGATCACCTTTTGGCAAGCAAAGTCAGTGGGGGAAACCAGATTCACTTAACAGCCGGATTGTTAGCTTATCAATTGCAGCGATTCACTTAACAACTGTAGCAGGGAAGGTCGTAAAACGGGGCGACACCTGCTTAACAAATGTCTCCCTTAACAACTGAACATTTGGGGCTCAATTGTGGTCGTAGGTCGAGGGCTACCTGTATTGTACGTTATATGATATATATATACCTATTATAAAGCTAAAAATTCGACTCTTGGGTAAATCCATGATAAAACCAATAAATATCGATCACCAAGAGGAAAGCAATAAATAGTAAAAAATTTAATGAGCCAAGCTTTCATTGGGCCCACCCAACATCATCAGGGCTGATGATGTTGGGTGGGCCCAATGAAAGCTTGGCTCATTAAATTTTTTACTATTTATTGCTTTCCTCTTGGTGATCGATATTTATTGGTTTTATCATATACCTATTATTCTCAGAGATGTCCCTCTGATATTTGACCTTATGAAAAGGCAAGCCGAATCGGAGCCAGTTGGGATGTGGATAGGAGACCACCAAGAAATCCAGACCACCTCAAGAAATACACACCCACCCTGAAAGGGAGGACCCAAGCAGGCCTCCTTCGGCAGCCACGGCTTTGGCATCAGCTGCCGAGTCCTTACAAGTCACCTGCTCAACTGGGGAGTTGCTGGAGAGGTCACCACCAGGTGATGCCAGATTGGGCCAGGCTGGGATGGGGAGCCGGGCTGGGAAGCGGGGAAACACCGAAGCAGCAGCCAGGGGAGGCTCGAGGGCTCCATACGCAGGAATAAGGAAAGAGAAACGGGGGGCCAGCACGTGATCGGCGGGAAAGGGGCCCTTGAGGTCATTTAGTCCACCCCCCCCGCTGAACGCGGGACCAGCTTTGCGCCCCCCCCGCGCCTTCCAACCCCTCCTCCGTGGGCTCTGCTCAGAACCCCCCTCCCCAGGCGCGGCCCCCTCCCTTCTCCCAGTTCCGCAGCAAGGGGGGGACCCTCGAGGTCATGGAGACCACCCCTCGCCCGGCGCAGGGCCCGGGGCCTCACATGTTGTTGAAGCGGAAGAGGTCGTTGCAAGTGAACGCCCGCAGAGAAGTCATGCCTGTCTCCAGGGCAGCCGACCCGGAAGCCGCCGCTCCGTGACCCCGAGCGTTTCCGCTCCGTCGCTCGGCAACGGAGCCGCGGGAAGCCACGCCCCTCCGAGGAGACGCGAGCCGATTCCAGAGACGGCGAAGCCCCGCCCATTCGAGCGTAAGAGGCGCGCCAATCCCGGAATCTCCGAAGCCCCGCCCGTAAGAACGTAGAGAGAACTAGTAGAGGCGCGCTGATGCCTTACAGCAGTCGCTTCCGGGTTCGCGTTATCTAAATGGGCCCTTCGTCGTACTACCTCGCAGGGCTGTTGTGTGGGAAAGAGGAGGGGAAGATGAGCTATAAAACAAAATGCAACCACCTCTTCTCTGATCATTGGGGGGTTTCAGATTAGAACCCTTACAGCTGTGTTCCTCTCCTTTGGTAACTTTGAGAGAGGTGGACTTCAACTCCCAGAATTCCCCAGCCAGCTTGGCTGGCTGGGGAATTCTGGGAGTTGAAGTCCACCTCTCTCAAAGTTGCCAAAGGAGAGGAACACTGCACTTATATGGAGAAATGCCAACTCAATTTTGCATCGTGCACTCATGTCACACACAAAATCACACAAACACACAGACACTAATTCCAAAGACGTCATTCCCACAACGCATAAAAATATACGCATCCATCTGAATGCCTTTAAAACACAATCCTGAATCTTAAAAAGACCGTGATCGTGTAAGAATTTCTACTTAAAACATTTGTTTGCAACTGTTGGTTTCAGCAACATCCAAATAAAATTCCAGGAATCCATATCTCAACTTAACAGCTTTGTTGATGTAATACTTTATTTTCTTATATCCACATAGGGTATATTCAGAGTGGCATAGAGGTTGTGACAAAAATATCTATAAAACCCCAAAGCCTTAGAAACATTCTATTCCATGAACCAAATTTTGAATCGAATTTGTTGATGGGAGAGAATTGATCCGTTTGCCACTGCAGAACAACATCTTTGCTCTTCCTCAAATTCTCCTTGTAGGATTAATAATAATAATAATAATAATAATAATAATAATACTAATAATAATAATAATAATAGTTGGAAGGGACCTTGGAGGTCATCTAGTCCAACCCCCTGCTCAGGCAGGAAACCCTATACCATTTCAGACAAGTGGCTGTCCAGTCTCTTCTTAAAAACTTCCAGTGTTGGAGCATTCACAGCTTCTGGAGGCAGGTTGTTCCACTGGTTAATTGTTCTAACTGTCAGGAAGTTTCTCCTTAGTTCTAGGTTGCTTCTCTCCTTCATTGTCTCTCCTTCATTGAATAAACAATCACCAGCCAAAACTTTCAAGAGAAAATGTTAGTTTATTTGTACTACTTTGCTAAGTGGGTGCATCACGTATACACAGGTACAGTGGACACACCTTAAATCATCAATATAATTTCTTTATACTCCCTATCGCTGTCGCAAATTTATCTCCCACCTTTCCCTGATTGGCTGAGTACTCAGGCTGTCACAACCTATCCGAAGCGCCTAAAGTGAATATTTTATTCCCCGCCTTTAATTACATCTCCCATTCCCCAAATTCTATCACCCCCTACCCTTATTTACAAATGATCTTTTATGGCTACTGGTTCCTAGGGCTTCTCTCTGGAGCAGGGGTCTTCAAACTTGACCCTTTTATGACTTGTGGACTTCAATTCCCAGAATTCCTCAGCCAGGATGCTTTTAAGACAGGGGTCTTCAAACTGGGCCCTTTTGTGACTTGTGGACTTCAACTCCCAGAATTCCTCAGCCAGGATGCTTTAAGACAGGGGTCTTCCAACTTGGCCCTTTTGTGACTTGTGGATTTCTTTCTCCCAGAATTCCTCAGCCAGCGTGCCTGGTTGAGGAATTCTGGGAGTTGAAGTCCACAAGTCATAAAAGGGCCACGTTTGAAGATCCCTGCTCCGGAGTAACTATCACATCAGCAAATTCTGATTAAGGCCGGTGTTTTAGCATAGCCAGGCCTCTGATCCCAGCTCCTACACACCGTTTCCAAACTTCAGCCAAGCTCATGAGATTAGAAATATATTCAATATATTTTCTTCTTACAGTTTCTGTAAAAACAATAGGCTCTTTTCCCCCCCACATCCTCCACCATTAACTCTTTTCAGAGCAACTTTATTTATGGCGTCCACTTATTCGACTCGATGCCACTCAGATCCACACAGCTTCGTAGTCTGAAGGAGCAAGCTGACTTACAGCGGCTTCATTTTTCTGGAGGTGCGTTCTGGACGGTAGTGAGAAATCATCTGAACCAGGATCGCGCAGTTGATGGACAGGAACCCCAAACCCCCCAACCAGAGGAGCAGAAACGTATTCTGCCCTCGAAACTCGAGAAAATAAGCCGGGAGCAGCCAGAGACCCTGCCCCAGGAGCCACAGCCCCAGCAACAGGGTCCCCCGCGCCCGGGACATCTGCAGGAAAGGCACCACCAGGGGCAGAAGGCAGAGGTACCACAAGAAATACTGAGAGGTGCAGACTTTGTTAAAGCTGACGAAAACCGCCGTGTGCAAGAAGCAGCAGAAGGCCAGGTCTCGGTAGTAGACGAAGGAGATGGCGAGAAGCAGCAGCAGCTGGGGCAGGAAGGCCGCCAGCCCCAGGGCCAAACTCCAGCGGCTTTCAGCCGTCAAATACAGCAGGTAGAAGTACGGTGAGAAGTTGTGTCGGGTATCTCTCCGGACCAAGTGGTAGAGGTAGGTGTGCTGCAGGAATTCCCAGCCGTAGTAGGCATAGAAGGAGAGAGCCAGGGCGGTAAAGGTGCCCCCGGAGACCATGGCGAAAAGCAGGACCTCCCGCGTGAACCAGCTCGAGGAGAGCCCGAGGCGAGCTGCCTTCCCCTTTGGTTTGTCCCGCTCTGCTACGGCGCGACTTTGCAAATAGAGGACGAAGGGCAGCGCGTAAGTCACCGGGTAGATCTTCGTATGGACGGCGAGGCCGTAAAGCACAGCCGCCTTCACTACGTGCCTCCTGGCCAGGTAGTAGAGGGTGGCCAGGACCAAGCTGGCCACGAGAGATTCGGCATTGCCTCGGCTGGACACGGTGACGGGGAGCGGGTTGAACAGCCAGAAGGCGCAGCAGCAACAAGCCGTCCGGCTATCCAGCCCTCGGAGGAGCAAGATCTGGTCGATCAGGAAGGCAGCCACCAGGTCCCCGGTCACAAAAAGGATCTTGCCAAACAAGTCGCTGACATAAATGTTGGGGGTTAACATCCAGGCCAGGAGCGGCGTGTAGCGGTAGGTGGCCCGCTGGTAAGGGGACCTTCCTTCCGTGACGTATCTGGCAGCATCGGTGAAGACCTGGTAATCAATGTCGGTGTATTTCATCAGCATTGTTCGGTCCTGGTAGATCCCGTAAAAGATCAGGCCCAGCCTGATTAGCAAAGCGCTGCTGAATAAAACCTTTCTCCGGAGGATCCCTTCCAGAATCCGCTGCCCTGTACTCAGAGGGGGATCCGGACACGGCTCTCCCAGACTGGGATCACGTTGAGAAGCAGATCCAGGGAGCAGTCCAGATTGAAGGTCTCCGGTCATCATGGCTGCCCAAGGGACCAGAGGTCAAGCTTAAAGGATCTCCTCCATGCGCTTCGGAACTCGCGATTTAGCAGGCATTCCTGATTAAAAAAAAAAAAAACATAGCCACAGTAAGAAAAGAGAGAGATGGAATTTTAAAATTGGACAGCCAGGCCACCGCCTTCCTTACTCATATGCTAACCCATATTAGTTTATATTTAAATATATATAATATAAACACAACGAAGAGCAGCGAAGATGATTAGGGGACTGGAGGCTAAGCCATACGAAGAAGGAAAGTTGCAGGAATTGGGTACGTCTAATTTAATGAAAAGAAGGATTAGGTCAGAGGTAGGCAACCTTGGCTCTTTTATGACTGGTGGACTTCAACTCCCAGAATTCCTGAGCCAGCCACGCTGAGGGGAAAGGGAGAGGTTTCCAAGCTGAGCCGTACTGGCTCAGGAATTCTGGGAGTTGAAGTCCAGGAGTCATGAGGGGGCCATAGTTCCTTCATGCTGGCTCAGGAATTCTGGGAGTTGAAGTCCACCAGTCATAAAAGAGCCAAGGTTGCCTACCCCTGGACTAGGGGAAACATGATAGCAGTCTTCGACTACTTGAGGGGCTGCCACAAAGAAAAGGGGGGTCAATCAGTAAATCAGAATAGAGCTGGAAGGGACCTTGGAGGTTTTCTAGCCCAACCCCCTGCCCAAGCAGAACACCCTATACCATTTCAAACAAGTGGCTGTCCAGTCTTTTCTTTAAAACCTCCAGTGTTGGAGCACCCATAGCTTCTGGTGGCAAGCTGTTCCACTGGTTAATTGTCCTCACTGTTAGGAAGTTTCTCCTTAATTCCAGGTTGCTTCTCTCCCTGATCAGTTTCCATCCGTTGCTTCTTCTCCTGCCCTCAGGAGCTCTGGAAAATAAGTTGACCCCCTCCTCTTTGTAGCAGCCCCTCAAATACGGGAAAACTCCTACCAGTATTATGTCAAGCTATCCTCCAAAGCGCCTGAAGGCAGGACAAGAAGCAACAGAGGGAAACTCATCAAGGAAAGAAGCAACCTAGAACTAAGGAGAAATTTCCTGACAGTCGGAACAATTAACCAGTGGAACCACCTGCCTCTAGAAGCCGTGAATGCTCCAATACTGGAAGTTTTTAAGAAGAGACTGGACAGCCATTTGTCCGAAATGGTTATAGGGTTTCCTGCCTGAGCAGGGGGTTGGACTAGATGAGCTCCAAGGTCCCTTCCAACTCCGTTATTCTGTTATATTTATTTGTTAAATTTATTTGCCGCCCATCCTACTGTGGGGCTGCTCTCGGAGCAGTTTATAACAGTAAAATGAAAAACAAAACAAAACAGTAAAACAGGAATTCTGGGAGTTGAAATCCACTGGTCTTAAAGTTGCCAAGTTGGATATTCTTGCAAAATAATACGGGATTCTTCATCACTGGAAGCTTTCAAGAAGAGACTGGACTGCCATCTGTCAGAAATGCTGTAGGTAGGGTCTCCTGCTTGGGCGGGGGGGGGTTGGACTAGATGACCTCCAAGGTCCCTTCCAACTCAGTTATTCTGTTCTGTTAGTTTAATTTTTCCTCCGTTCCTTTGGCAAAGAAGCCAAAACTTCAACAGACGTTAGCAGCTACCCAAAGAGAGCTTGTTTTTCTTACAACCAGACCCAGAGACCATTTCCCCCCCAAAGATCAAGTTCCTCCAATAAAGGAACGAGTAAAGTTTTGTCATAACTTAAATTGCTACAAGACCAGAATTAAAAAGTTGTTAAATGTGTAAATTGCAGAAAATGAACTGCCTGCTTCTCTCCCCCCTTTTTTTTTTCCTCATGACTTTTGCTAACGGAATGGCGTTGCTGGCAGGCACTTAAAATTTTATATACTTTCTATCTTCAACTGCACGCTGCACACATAGAAAGAACAACCCCAGCTAACCCCATTAAACTGCTCTTTGTCATGCAACATTCATTGGAATAATTATCGACTGTAATTAAAAAGACAACAATTAACTCTGGAAAGGCATTTAAAGGGACTGGGACCCCAATATCCCGTCTGCTACAGGCCAAGGGTTTCTATTTCAAGGGTAACTTTGAAATAAAATGTAAAGGCATTTAAGAGCCCTTTTACTACATTAAGCCTCCAAAGCCAAAATAAACTACGGAGCCAGGGAGAAATGATAGCGCTGGCAGTCTTGCATGAAACAATTTCTCCTTTTGCTGACTTCAACACAGTTTGCAAAAGAAGTAAACACAGATAAGAACAGCGCCAGGACAAAAAAGCAGGAAAAAAAGCTGTATGAACTCAGCGTAAGACAAATGAGAGAGCTATTCTCACTTTTTACTATGGAGCAGTGTAGCCCATAGTATCTTCCTGGGCTCCAAGATCACCTCAGATGGGGACTGCAGCCAAGGAATTAAAAGATGCTTGCTCCTGGGGAAGAAAGCTATGGCAAATCTAGACAGCATACTAAAAAGCAGAGACATCACCCTGCCAACAAAAGTACGTATAGTCAAGGCCATGGTTTTCCCAGTTGCAATGTGTGGCTGTGAAAGTTGGACCGTAAGAAAGGCTGAGCGCCAAAGCATTGAGGCCTTTGAACTCTGGTGCTGGAGAAGACTCCTGCGAGTCCCCTGGACTGCAAGGTGATCCAACCGGTCAGTCCTAGAGGAGATCAACCCCGACTGCTCTTGAGAAGGCCAGATCCTGAAGTAGAAACTCAAGTCCTTTGGCCCCCTAATGAGAAGGAAGGACTCCCTGGAGAAGAGCCTAAGGCTGGGAAAGATGGAGGTCAATAGAAGAAGGGGACAACAGAGAAGGAGGGGGCTGGATGGAGTCACTGAAGCAGAAGGCCTGAGCTTCAATGGACTCCAGAAGATGGTAGAAGACAGGAAGACCTGGAGGAATGTTGTCCATGAGGTTGCGATGAGTCGGACACGACTTCACAACTAACAACAACAACCCAACCATGGAACTATAAGTCTTCCAGACTGTATGGATGTACTGTATAAAGGCAAAGGCTGGTCCTAAGCCACTTTTTAGTGCCAACGTAACCTCGAACCGTTGCAAAATGGATGGCTGTAAGCTGAGGACTCCCTGTATATTTTTCCTGGGGGGGGGGAGTGGGTACACAGTGATATAAGAAGGAAGAGAAATTTTCTCTTTCTGGACTCCAAGAGGAGAAGAAAGAGCAGAGGAGGAGGAGGAAGAGGAGGAGGAGGACTGTGGGGTCCTAGGTACTTTCTGAGCTTGATGGTTTCCTTGCAGACATTTCATTACCAAATTAGGTAACATCATCAGTGCTAGAAGGGAGTCGGGTTTGTGGAGAGGAGGAGGAATATCAGAAGGAGGAAGAGGAGGTAGTAATGGAAGAAGAACAGATGAAGCTCAGGAAGGAAGAGGAGAGGAGGAGGGGGAATGAAGGAGAGGAGGAGAAGGAGAAGAAAAAAAGGGGAAGGAGAAGAAGAGGAGGAGGAAGAGATGCAGAAAGAAAAAGGGGGAGGGGAAAGGAAAGGAGAAGGAAGTGCTGGTTGTAGTAGACAAGGAAGAACATGCATGCTCAAGAAGGAGAACGGAGGAGGAGGGGAGCAAGACGGAGGAGAAGGAAAGAAGAAAAAGGGTGAAGGAGGAGAAGGAAGTCGTGGTGGTGGTGATAGAAGACGAAGAACAGACGCCTGCTCTAGAATGAGAAGGAAGAGATGAAACAGACGGAGAACAAAAGAGGAAGAGAGGAAGACGGAAGAGAAGGAGAAGGAAAAGGAAAAAGGGAAAGGAGGAGGGGAGGAGGAGAGGAGGAGAAGAGGAAGAAAAGGCACATTTCCCCTTCTTTGATGGAGGAAGAGGAGGAGGAAGAACAGCTCCGGCAGTCTCTTTCTTGTCTGAAATGGTATAGGGTCTCTCTTGCTTGAGCAGGGGGTGGACTAGAAGACCTCCAAAGTCCCTTCCAGCTCTATTCTGATTCCTGCTCTTCCTAGGGGTTGGGGTCCCCCTCTTGTGGCTCCGTTGGGTCCCCCCCCCAGCTTAGCCCAGGCGCCCCTCCGGCTGCAAAGGCCTCCAGGCGTCCACTGGGGGCGCCCAAGAGCAGCGGAGCGGGGGCTACTCACGCGGTCTCCGGCGGGAGAAGCAGCGCGGACCGAACTCCGCTCTCGGGGCGCCCGGCGAGAGACGTTCCAGTCCCGGCCAGCAGGGGTCGCACCGCTGGGCGGAACCTTTCTGCCGGCCCCGCGCGCCGGGGGGGAGCGCTTCCGTCAGCGTAAGGGTCCCCCATAGCGCTTCCGGTAGAACCAACCGGGTTCTCCTCTCCGCCGCGGGCCACTCTGCCAGACCGGAGCCGGGATGCGGCTGCTGCAGGGCGGGCTGGGCTTCCTGCTGCGCTCGGGGATCCGTCGCGGGCCCGGACAGCCTCTCTACCAGCAAGGCCAGAGCCCCTCGCCGCGCACCCGCGAGTACTTCTACTACGTCGACCACCAGGGACAGGTAGGGGCGGGGGCGGGGTGGACAATGGGGGGGGGAGGTCATCGGGTCAACCGGATCCGTCCTGCAACTGGAAAAGGTCATTTCCGGCTGGGGGGTGGGGGACAAAGGCTGGAAAGGGACCCCCCCCTAAGTCAGTGGGGAAGTTTGTATTACAGGTAGTCCTCTACTTAGGACCACAGTTGAGCCCAAAATTTCTATTGCTCAGCGACACAATTGTGAAATGGGTTTTGCCCCATTTTACCACCTTTCTCGGTTGTTAAGGGGGTCACGCGGTTGTTAAGTGAATTTTTGGCTTCCCCATTGACTTTGCTTGTCAGCAGGTTGCAAAAGGGGATCACATGACCCCGGGACCCGCCAAGCATCATGAGCTTCCTGATCCAGGAGAGAAGCAACCTGGAACTAAAGAGGAATTTCCTGACAGTTAGAACAATTAACCAGTGGAACGGCTTGCCACCAGAACTTGTGGGTGCTCCATCACTGGAGGTTTTTAAGAAGAGACTGGACATTCTAGCGCAGGGGTGTCAAACTGCTGGCCCGCGGGCCAGACGCGTCACGTGGAAGCCGTGCCCACCCCATTGCTGGCAATGGCAAAACAGTCCTGATATGTTGCACGACGTCATGTGACGTCGCGAGTTTGACATATCTGGTCTAGGGTCTCCTGCTTGAGCAGGGGGTTTGACTAGAAGACCTCCAAGGTCCCTTCCAGCTCTAGTCTGATTGATTGATACTATTCTCCAAAGCACCAGGACAAGAAACAATGGATGGAAACTAACCAAGGAGAGAACCAACCTAGAGCGAAGGAGAAACTTCCTAACAGTGAGAACCATTAACCAGCGGGACAAAAGTTGCCTCCGGAAGTTGTTGTTCTTCTCCTTCTCCTTTTCTCCTTTTTTTTCTTCTTCCTCTTCCTCTTCCTCCTCCTCCTCTTCTTCCTCTTCCTCTTCCTCTTCCTTCCCTTTCTTACCCCTCCTCCTCCTCCTCCTCCTCCTTCTTCTTTTTTTTCTTCTCGTCCTCATCCTTTTCTCCTCCTCCTTCTCCTTTTCTCCCCCTTCTTGTTTTCTCCTCCTTCTCTTTCTTTCCATCTTTCCCAGCATTAGAGCTTTCTCCAGAGAGCTGGGAGTAGGATCGTTTGAGTCTGGTCCTTTGTACCTTGAGTGAAAACTCTGGGTTGACTTCTTCAATGGTCAGTTTGTTTTCTTAGCTGTCCATGGTCTATTCAGGAGTCTTCTCCAACACCCAAATTCAAAAACATTAATAGTCTTTCCCCCTGCTTCTAGTACTACAACTTCCCCTTTGATGGCAGGAGTCCAGCAAGGCACCAGGCCGATGATGGAGACACTGACGGCACGAATACAGATAGTCCTCAACTTAAAACCACAGCTGAGCCCAACTTTTCTGCTGCTAAGCAAGGCCATCTTTTTGCTACCGTTGTTAAGCAAATTCATGTGGTCATTAAGTGGATCTGGCTTCCCCTGTTGACTGTGCTTGTCGGAATCCAGCTGGGAAAGTTGAAAATGGCAGTCACACGAGCCAGGGACGGTGCAACCATCATACCTACACGGCAGTTCCTGAGCACCCGAACTTGGGGATGCGGCAACAGTCATAAGTGTGAATACCGACCACCAGTTGCTTTTTTCACTGCCATTGTAACTTCAAACAGTCACTAAATGAATGGCTGTAAGTCAAGGACTGCCCGTAGCAGGTGTGGCTTGTATGTCCTAGTCCAGCTGCTCTAGTTTTATTACAGTTAGTCCTTGACTTTACGACCACGATGGAGCCCAAGAGTTGTTAAGTGAGTTTTGCCTCATTTTATGACCTTTCTTACCACAGTTGTTAAGTGAATCACTGCAGTTGTTAAGTTAGTAACACGGTTGCTAAGTGAATCTGGCTTCCCCCATTGATTGTGCTTATCAGAAGGTCGCAAAAGGGGATTCCACGACGTCATAAATATGAGTCAGTTGTCAAACATCCTAATTTCGGTCACGTGACCATGGTTGTAAATGTGAAAAATGGTCCTGACACTTGTCAGTGCCCTTGTAACTTTGAATGGTCACTAAATGAACTGTTGTAAGTCTAGAAGTGCCTCTACCTCCAAGTTCCAAAGACTGTTTCCCTCTGCAAAAGAATAGAGTAGAGCTGGAAGGGATCTTGGAGGTCTTCTAGTCCAGCCTCCTGGTCAAGCAGGAGAACCTATACCATCTCAGATAAGTGGCTGTCCAGTCTCTTCTTAAAAACCTCCAGTGATTTCTGGAGGCAAGCTGTTCCACTGGTTGATTGTCTTCACTGTCAGGAAGTTTCTCCTTAATTCCAGGTTGCTTCTCTCCTTGATTAGTTTCCATCCATTGTTTCTCGTCCTGCCCTCTGGTGCTATGGAGAATCACATGACTCCTCCTCTTTTTTGGGGCAGCCCCTCAAATACTGGAACTCTGCTATCATGTCTCCCCTATTTTTTCTTTTCTTTAGACTGGCCAAACCCAAGTCCTGCAGCCGTTCTTCATACGTTTTAGTCTCCAGGCCTTGGATCATCTTAGTTGCTCTTCTCTGATTTTTTCCCAAACTCTCAACGTCTTTTTTGTGATATGGTGACCAAAATTGGCTGCAGTATTGCAGGTGTGGCCTCACTAGGGTTTTATAAAGCTAAACAAATGCTAAAATCTGGTTCTCCTCCAGTTCAGGAGGAATCCAAATGACATAACCAGGAGCCTGGCAATGTCAGATTCAAAGCTAAATGTTAATGGAGACCTTCAGGGCAAAACAAAAACCAGCCAAGTGGCAGATTTGGGCTCAGGATGAGATGTCGGCTTCGTTTCAGCTCTGGGGGCTGCTTGGACCTCTTTTGAATCCATTAGCCTCAGCTGCTGACTCATGTTATTGCCTCTGCTGTGGCGTATCTAATTGGCCCTGAATTAAACATTACAGGGGAAATAAGTTGGGGTCGGTATTAAAAGAAAAACTGGCTAATAATAATAATAATAATAATAATAATAATAATAATAATGATGATGATGATGATGTTGGAAGGGACAAATAGAATAGACGAGAAAGAACTAGAGAAGATCACAAAATACAAAGACCTAAAATAGAAATAGAAAGACTGTGGCAAAAGCAAGCAAGGGTAGTACCAATAGTAATAGGTGCCTTGGGTGCAATCCCAAAATAACTGGAGCACCACTTGAACACCATCGTCGGCATTGACAAATTCGCCATCAGTCAATTGCAAAAGGCGGCCTTACTAGGAACTGTTTCCATCCTGCGACGATATCTGTAATACCATCAAACATCCACATCTGCCTATCCCTGGTCCTTGGGAAGGACTCGGTAGGTAAACAAAAATGCCAAATCCAGTCTGAACATCTGGCTGACTGTGCGATGATCCTCATAATAAAGTTGGAAGGGACCTTGGAGGTCATCTAGTTCAACCCCCTACTCAGGCAGGAAACCCTATACCATTTCGGACAAATGGCTGTCCAGTCACTTCTTAAAAACTTCCAGTGTTGGAGCATTCACCGCTTCTGGAGGCAGGTTGTTTCACTGGTTAATTGTTCTAACTGTCAGGAAGTTTCTCCTTAGTTCTTCTCCTCCAAGATGGTGGAGCAGTGCCCTCGTTTCTGAGGCAGTAGGAGGTCTTGTCTTCCACTCTCTCTGCATATTCTCTATTTTTCAGGAAGAGGAGCATCCGGTTTACTCATTTTTTTCTCTCATGTTTGTCTTCCCCACCATACCTTCCCAACCCCATCCGATCCTGACCACGTTCGACAGCTTTTCCTGGATGACGCCAAAGTCAAGAACTTCATCACTTGTTTCAAAGGTAATATTCTACTTATTACACCCAGATTATAGACCCTTTGAGGGAAGGTAGAGTCATGGGGGATAATAGAATAACAGAACCACAGAGTTGGAAGGGACCTTGGAGGTCTTGTGGGAGATGAAAATATAGCCCCCTCCTCATATAATAAGGTAGGGTTGGAACAGAGCTGAAATAGGCCCCCGCAGTAGTGATTGAAAGCTTTAACTTGAACTTTAGGTTGTTTCACAATACGGATGTATTATTTGTAATCTGCTGAGCTTTGTGCAATATAAAATTGCAAAGTAGGTAGTTCTATCTTCTATTAATCTATATAAATAAAAATGTAAATGTTCATTTGTTCAAAATCTTAAATCTCCGAAAGTTCTTCACCGATTGCTTTGAAATTTTGACACAACGTTGCATTCGAATATGTGCGTGTTTTTATATACCTACTATTATATAGATGTCACACCTGTGACAGGTAAAAACATGGGGTTTTTTTGAAAAACAGCGCCATCTGTTGGACGTAAAAGCAACACACTTCTTTTCCATTTAACCAGACTGAGCCACAGCAATGCATGGCCGGGTACAGCTAGTATATATATATATATATATTTGGAACCTGAGTACTGTAACCTTGGGAAAAGAGGAAGTGAAAGTAGGTTTCAGATGTACACAGGTGTATGTGGAAACTGCTAGTCAGCACAAAAAAAACAAGGAACGGCTTTTGCAAAATAATGATTATGTGTGGGTAGTAGTTAGAAGAAAGGTATAAAAATGTCGGTTTAAGTCTGGCTCGGGGCTGCCTTTGGAATATGCTATGCCCTATAGTCCTCATTGCATGGGTGTTTAATGTAAGTAATGCTATGTAATGCCGTGTTCCAAATTATTAGAAAAATAAACCTATGAATCTTAAAGTAAGAGGGGAAAGGGAGAGGTTTCCAAGCTGAGCCATGCTGACTGAGGAATTCTGGGAGGTGAAGTCCACGAGTCATAAAAGAGCCAAGGTTGCCTACCCCTGTCCTAAATCCTCCTGTTCTAAGCAGTGAGCCTCCTAGACCAGGGGTAGGCAACCTGGGCTCTTTTATGACTGGTGGACTTCAACTCCCAGAATTCCTGAGCCAGCCGTGCTGAGGGGAAAGGGAGAGGTTTGCAAGCTGAGCCATGCTGGCTCAGGAATTCTGGGAGTTGAAGTCCACAAGTCATAAAAGGGCCAAGTTTGAAGACTCCTGTCTTAAATCTAACAAACAAAATGGAGGCTGGCTGAGGAATTCTGGGAGTTGAAGTCCACCAGTCAAAAAAGAGCCAAGGTTCCCCACCCCTGGTCTAGCCCAGGGGTAGGCCACCTTGGCTCTTTTATGACTGGTGGACTTCAACTCCCAGAATTCCTGAGCCAGCATGACTCAGCTTGGAAATTCTCCCTTTCCCTTCAGCATGGCTGGCTCAGGAATTCTGGGAGTTGAAGTCCACCAGTCATAAAAGAGCCAAGGTTGCCTACCCCTGGGCTAGGTATTAAGCATCTAATCATAAAATATTTAAATCTAAAAAAAACCAGTATCTAAAAGTGGAAAAAATTCAAAATGGAGCCCCTCCTTTCATAGAGACGTCATCATCGCGTCCACCTGTGCAGCCGGTCCTCGTCTTAAAACGACCGCAATTGACCCCAGGATTTATGTTGCTAAACGGAACAATGGTTAAGAGGATTTTTGCCCTGTTTTACGACTTTGGCCACCAGAGTCGTTAAGCGAACTACTGCGTTCCTTAGTCACACGGTCGTTAAGTGAATCCGGTTTCCCCCACTGACTTTTTGTCAAAAGATCACAAAGGGGGATCACGTGACACACACACACACACGGAACCACTGCGACCGTCATAAATATAAGCCAATTGCCAAACGTCTGAATGTAAATCACATATGGGGATGCCAGAACGGTCGTAAGTGTGAAAACAGGTCATAGGTCGCTTTTTTCACTGCTGTTGTAACTTTGAATGGTCACTAAACTAATTGTTATAAGTCGAGGAGTATATTTACCCAGGTAGTAGGGCGATAGTATTAATATTTATCCTCCTTATTATCCTCTTTACTCCACCACCACCCTCTTATTGGTATTATGGCAATGATGATTATAACTCTTCTGTTGCTTTGCCGATTCCTTGTGGGTCTAATCACGCTCGGCCAAATAAAATAATTCAGTTCAGAGGGAAAAAAATGCAATTCGATTTCTAGAGCGTCCCGTTCAGAGGTCGCTTTATACATGCAGCTTCTGAGTCCCCTTTCTTTTTTTTCCCCTTCCAGCTTCATCTCACAGAGATGTTGTCTCCATTCTCTCTTGTCACTTGTCTGAGATGGTATAGGACAGGTCCTCCTGCTTGAGCAGGGGGCTGGACTAGAAGGCCTTCAAGGTCCCTTCCAATTCTGTTCTGTTCTATTCTAGCCTATTCTATTCTAGTCTAGTCTATTCCCTATTCTATTTTAGGCTAGGCTAGGCTAGTCTTAGTCTAGTCTATTCCATTTCTATTTCCTATTCTATTCTATTCATTCTATTCTCTTCTATATTCTATTCTATATTCTATTCTATTCTATTCCTTATTTTATTCTATTCCTGTTCTGTTCTATTCTATTCCTTATTCTATTCTATTCCTGTTCTGTTCTATTCTATTCTATTCTATTCTATTCTATTCTATTCTATTCTATTCTATTCTATTCTATTCTATTCCTTATTCTATTCTATTCTATTCTATTCTATTCTATTCTATTCTATTATTCTAGTCTATTCTATTCTATTATTCTAGTCTATTCCTTATTCTATTCTATTCTATTCTATTCCTTATTCTATTCTATTCTATTCCTTATTCTATTCTATTCTATTCTATTCTATTCTATTCTATTCTATTCTATTCTATTCTATTCTATTCTATTCTATTCCCTTATTCTATTCCCTTATTCTATTCTATTCTATTCTATTATTCTAGTCTATTCTATTCTATTATTCTAGTCTATTCCTTATTCTATTCTATTCTATTCTATTCCTTATTCTATTCTATTCTATTCCTTATTCTATTCTATTCTATTCTATTCTATTCTATTCTATTCTATTCTATTCTATTCCCTTATTCTATTCCCTTATTCTATTCTATTCTATTCTATTCCTTATTCTATTCTGTTCTGTTCTATTCTATTCCTTGTTCTATTCTATTCTATTCTATTCCATTCCATTCCATTCCATTCTACTGGAATTAAGCAGAGGGGAACCTGCAGCCTCTAAATAACATGTTTTAAAAAATGCTACCCATGGCTTTCTCCTCTGCTGTCTTCTCCCTCAAGCACCAACCTTGTCTCCTCTTTGCCCACGCTTGCCTTACCAGAGCCATATGGATTTTGCCCTTGTTGTATAATGCTCCGAACTGGGGAACTGGCCTTTTGCCAGCAGCCTCTCGCTTGACTTCCCACCCACCCCACCCAGCAAAAGCAAACAGGGTGCTTTTCTGCATCTCAATTTCCACTTCCCAATTACGAGGCTGCAGCTGCGCTGGGAATAACTCAAATTTATGACTCGTGGACCTGCTGGTGCTTGTAAACGCCACGGAGCGGGTGGCCTCGGGCCAGGAATGCTTAGCAGGCTGCCAGTACAAAGGAGAACAACCAGTCTGAATTCCAAGAAAGAGTAAAACGTGCAGGGGGGAGACTCTTCCCAGATGCTCAGAATCAGAGGGGCTGATCAAGAAGGCAAATAGAGGAGAATATTTGTTGGAATGAGGGGTCCTTGGTGCTCTCTGAGCCTGGCAGTTTCCTTGCAGATGTTTCACTACCAAACTACATAACTTCATCAGTGCTGGAAGGGAGTTAAGTCTGTGGAGAGGAGGAGGACTGTGGGGTCCCTGGTGGTCTCTGAGCTGGGTTGTTTTCTTGCAGACGTTTCATGACCCTACTAGGGAACATCATCCAGCGGGCAGGACTGGCCTAGGGGTATTTTAAATTGGTTTTAGCCAAATTTTAGTACTAGCGGCCGATTATATATTTATTTTTAGTGATTTTTAGAATTTCTATTGTATTGTATTAAATTGTTTTTAACTGGCTGTAAGCCGCCCTGAGTCCTACGGGAGAAGGGCGGGGTATAAATTTAATAAAATGTAAATGTAAAAATGTAAAATCAGTGCTAGAAAGGGGTGGGGCGCTCCATCCCTGGAGGATTTTAAGAAGGGACTGGATAGTCCCTTGTCTGAGATTGTGTATAGGGTCTCCTGCTTGAGCAGTGGGTTGGACTAGATGACCTCCAAGGTCCCTTCCTATTCTATTCTATTCCATTCCATTCCATATTCTATTCAGTGGTGGGGAACCTATGGCATGGGTGCCAGAGGCGGCACTCAGAGCCCTCTCTGTGGGCACACGCGCCGTCGCCCCAGTCCTAGGCCTTCAGCTGGGTTTTATAAAACCTTTTCGCTTTAGGCCTCCGCCGCCGTGTGCAAAAAAAAAAAAAAGTTCAATCAATTTCAACTTCTCGTGGAAAAAAAAAAGATCTCGCAAAGTTGGAATTGATTGAACTTTTTAGTCCCACCCAGTCTGCCGTTACCACCACAGCCATGCCCACCCAATGGGCCACACCCACCCTGCACCCAACGATACATACGTGGGTTTTGGGTTGCAGTTTGGGCACTCAGTCTCTAAAAGGTTCGCCATCACTGGTCTATTCTATTCTATTCTATTCTATTCTATTCTATTCTATTCTATTCTATTCTATTCCATATTTTCTTTTCTATTCTATTCTATTCTATTCTATTCTATTCTATTCCATTCCATATTTTCTATTCCATTCCATTGTATTGTATTCCATTCCATTCCATATTTTCTATTCTATTCTATTCTATTCTATTCTATTCTATTCT